ACAATGAGGGATTCGTTAAGTTAGCAAATTGTAAAATCTTGTCTGCAAAATTTGGAGCTATGCAGCCAGAAATAAGGAACAGCCTATAATACAATGCATAGCCTCAGCTTCTGGTAAAGTCACAAGAGCCAATAATCTGAGGGAATGGACAACTCTTTCTTTAAAAGAGAGGGCTCACAGCAGCCATACTGCCATCTTGTGTTGGAGCTGTTAGAGCTGACTGTGCTATGTGGAGAGTAGTGATGAGATTGGGTTCAGGCTTGGTCTCAATCTAAACTCAAGTTTGTCCAAAGCCAGAACTTAGGTGGCATTGCTGGACCAATGAGCTATGGGCAGAAGATTGAAGTAGTACAGACACATTGTCATATAATGTCGATTTCAGTGCAGCTGCGGGGCAGGAAATTTCCTGCCCGCAGCTCATTGGTCCAGCAGTGACAGCTAATTTCTGATTCTGACCAAACCCAAGCTCATTCCTCGATACGTTTTATTTCATTTTTAAATTCTGCCATTGGTTCATGCTCTTCTTGGCAGCATGTGGTCCACCATGCCTTTTGTTTGACACTAACTTGGTTATTAGTCCTACAAATGGGCAGAATTGAATGACAGAATTCACCCCCTCCCCACAAAGGTCTTCACGGTAAAGTTGCCAAATTTCAAACTTCAAAAGAGTTGCAAAAAATGTTCTTGAATTGAATCCAGGGAGCATCCCTCATGCCTAGTGCTAAAAACCACTGTAAGTTGTAATAGAAGACCTAAAATTCAAATCATATTAAATAATAGCCACTGCTCACTATAAAGACATTTTATTGGTAAAATCTTTTATTCTTATAAAGCTGGCTTCCAGGTAACACAAATGTGTACAAGACTTATTGGATTTTATTGATTTACTTGCTTTGTATTCAGTTTAATGAAAAATGAAAATAACCACATGCAAACTTTTTACCCCTCCCTTGGACACAAATAGGCCTTGATATTAATATCTTTTGTTGTCAGATAGAGTTTCATCGATAAAAGGATGTTCAGATTAAAAGCTTAAGCAGGGACTGATTCAGCAGGGACTGGTGGAGTTTCAATCCATGTATGGGCAGATTTGTTGTACACAGGTCGGTCTATTGAGTGACTCATATACAACCAGCCTGTTGGAAATTTTTATCTTGATCAGTGCCATTGAGTTTGTGGATGGGGAAATTGAGTCATTTTCTTTTATTCAACCAGCAGGTTGAACGAAAAAATAAAATGACTTGTGTATGGCCAGCCTTAGATTAAAAAAAATATTGTGAGGTTACAGAAAAATATAGTAAACTTGTTTTTTGTGTTTTGAATAGAGTTTCCCTCAGACTTGACCTTCCATTACTGTATTTGTTTTCATCATGAACATTACAAAAAAATAAGCATCAATGCAATGTGGATGTCAGTGCACACAAACCTAAAGTGGAACTGGTATAGCCCTCTTTTGGGGAAGGGGGGATGAGAAATGGCCAAGTGGAAGAGTGGGATTGATAATAAAGATGGCAGTGCCTTCACCCAGGACAGGGCCTCTGTGAACAGAGAGATTTCTCTTCCTGGGAATATAATCAGTAATCTAAACAAAGTGATTGGGAGCAGAACTACTGCAACCAGCATATGACATTACCCATAAGTATATAGATACACACAAGTACAAATGTTGTATAAGAAGAGATTAATAATAGTACATACATCCAATGTACAAACAGCTATTATAAGTGTCCTGGTGGAACTGTGCACAAATACCCAGGTATAAATAGCTATTAAAAGAGATACCTCCATATGAAAGTTGCAGCAAAGTCCAGTTGCAGAGGCCTGAGTATGATGCAGCATCTGTCTTTGTGTTGGAGATGAGATCCTACTTATCTGGCAATATGTGTCTCTTCTGATCTGGTATTAGTAGCATGGACAGAACATGTGGCTGAGACCTTCTCTCTCTCTCCACAACCTCCTTCCAGGATTTTTTCTCCAACAACCCCAGAAGCAGGAAGTGACATACATAATTATTACAGTGTGATACTAGCAGCTAACAGTGGAGGGCAGTGGATCCCTAGACTGGAAAAATGTTAATCAGCCAGGTTTTTTATGCATTTACACCTCGGTCACATCAAGCCTGACTTTGAAATTGATTTCAAAGTCGGGGGACATGCCGGTTTCAGGTGTGATTTGTAAGACATCTGATACAGATGTCTATGCAAATCGCACCAAAAATAGTACATGTACTACTTTAGAAATTGGTGCGAATCCGACCAAGTCAGAACCGCCCGATATGACCGCTCTAACTGCGGACAGTAGGGTGAGATTTGGCATGCGATTTGCAAGTTGCATAGCATGCAAATCGCATGCCATACCCGATGTGACGGGGGTGTAAAGTTCTTTACCTGCCTGTGTGTGCAGCTCTGTGTACAAATTTTGGCTGAAATGAAATGGCTGAAGATCGGTATCCAATCAAGCTGAAGATGACAGCAGCCAGTGGGGAGCTCCAGGATACTGCAGTTCTGTATAGAAGAGGAGTATTGTTCCATTTTAAGGCTAAGTCCACATTTTGGACCACAATTCATGTTTTTTTTCCCCATATTTCCCCATATTTAGGGTATAACATGAAGCCTAGTCACATACACCATCTGCATAGAACAACACAGGCTTAACACAAAGGCACACAGGATACAATTGTTTTCGATGTGTATTGTTCACATAATGGCACATTGAGGTGTGGTACTCTACATAAAAATGGAGCGTGTCTGCAGTCTTATCCAGGGCAACTCACTGCACCGCACCCATAAAACACTGTGGTACTTAGACTTGAATGATGAGACTTCAATAAAGTTTAAAAGAGTGAACAGTGTGATACTTTGTAACAATGCATCACACTGACCTGCCACAATGTACACCAGTATGTGCTCTAGCTGGTATAAACAAGCCCTTAAAGCGACAATCAATGATATTTTTATTCTCCATAAGTATTCCAAACAGTTCCACCATTAAATGGCCCTGTAATCTATTTTTCATGAAATCGTTTCTTGACTTTCTGATTCCCTTAAAGTGATTTTAAACCCTTACATAGACCCAGTGAAGTGACTGGCCTCAGATGATACCCAGAGATGAAACAAATCCTCCTACAAAAGTTGCACCTGTTTATCTGCAGTCTTCTCTACATCCATTCAAATGTTAAATCTATAAAGTTTGCCTGAGAGTTCAGAAAAAAAGGGGGTGGAGTGCTGAAATTGCACACTGCAGAGCTCAGTGAGGAGAGCTCTGAAAGCTGATTGAAGGGAACAGACACGCCCTCCTCGACAAAGCTCACAGGAACAGAGCTGAAAGAGTGTCAGGAAAACTTGCCAGGAGTGATTCATGCTGGTAGCACAGGAACAAAGCAGTAGGCAGAAATGACAGGTTTATAGGATTTACAACACTTTACTATCCTCCGTGAGCTCTTGAACCTCCCCTTTCCCCTCTCACTTCCTGTTGTTTGGCATGAGCAGTGTACATTAGTTGTAGTCATGTACTACTCTTTAAACACTACAAATCCCAAAGTCCATAGTCTCTATGTCACCTTCCAAATGAACAAGAGAGGGTAGCTACTTTCTACACACAGTAGGACCATGGAGAACAAACATAGTCGCCTTCTAACAGAAAGTTGGATTATAGCAGCAAAAACAAAAATGAATTTGAAGGTTTGGAGGCCGAGAGCAATAGACTTTTTTGAGATAAAATATAGTAAAGGCCTCAAAGCTTCAACACAGTTGTGAAAACTTTACTGATCATTAAGGCAAGAAACAAAACTTCCTGCATAATAGTCAGTAAATATATCCTTTTTTTAATCTGTAAGAATTGTCCTGTCCCTTTTCTCAATGGTATATGTATGTACAGGTGAAAGTCGAAAAATTTTAATATCATGCAAAAGTTAATTTATTTCAGTAATGCAGCTTAAAAGGTGAAACTAATATATGAGATAGACTCATTACATGCAAAGCAAGATAGTTCAAGCCGTGATTTGTCATAATTGTGATAATTGCAATTACCTTTTGAGGCTTTCCCTCCTTATGGAGGGTGTCAATGATGGTTTTCTGCACAACTGTCAGGTCAGCAGTCTTTCCCATGATTGTGATTCCTACTGAACCAGACTGAGAGACCATTTAAAGGCTCAGGAACCCTTTGCAGGTGTTATGGCTTAATTAGCTGATTAGAGTGGGACACTTTGAGCCTAGAATATTGCACCTTTTCACAATATTCTAATTTTCTGAGATTGTGGATTTGGGGTTTTCATGAGCTGTAAGCCATAATCATCACACTTATGGCAAATCACGGCTTGAACTATCTTGCTTTGCATGTAATGAGTCTATCTCATATATTAGTTTCACATTTTAAGTTGCATTACTGAAATAAATGAACTTTTGCACGATATTCTAATTTTTTGAGTTTCACCTGTATGTCGCACGATGTTAGAAAAGTGTGTTCCCTGCTTGTTTCCCGTAGTGCTTTTAAAACCATTGCCTTTGCAATCTGCACAGGTATCAATACATTGTTAACGTCATTCCAAACACAGACAGCACATTTGTGGGCACCAGATCGCATGATACCACAGTACCATGTGATTTGGTGTGGCATGTTTTTCAAAAGTAGTGTGTACACTCCTTGTTGTGATTCGCAGCCCATTCAAATTAATGGACTGCAAAACTGCACTGCGGGGGAACACGCAAGAATAACACAGGAATGTGGACCGTCTCAGAAGTCTCAGAAATGTTTAACCACTTGCCCTCCTTAGGATTTAGCCCCCTTCCTGACTAGGCCATTTTTTGCGACACGGCGCTGTGTTACTTTAACTGACAATTGCGTGGTCTTGCAACTCTGCTCCCAAATGAAATTTACTTCCTTTTTTTTTCCACAGAAAGAGCATTCTTTCAGTGGTATTTGATTGCCTGTGCATTTTTTATTTTTTTGCGCTATAAACAAAAAAAAGACTGACAATTTTGAGAAAAAAAACAATATTTTTAACTTTTTGCTATTAAACGTCCAGTACAAAAATATGTATGAATTAATTGGTTTATGTGAAAGTTATAGCATTTACAAATGGCGGTATATATATATATATATATATATATATATATATATATATGAAAACGGATTTGTTTTTTAAATTTTTTTTTACTAGTAATGGCAGCGATCAGCGACTTATAGCGGGACTGCGGTGGGTATTCTGACACTGGGGGCACTGACTTGGTGCCACTGACATCCCCAGTGACGCCAATACAGTGATTACTGCTAATAAAAAGCACTGACACTGTACTAATGGCACTGGGCAGGAAGGGGTTAACATGTGGGGTGATCAAGGGGTTAACTGTGTGCTGTTTCACTGTGTTCTGTGTAAGTGCTTTAACTGTAAGCACACTGCTTTGTATGGCTCTGCTATGCAGAGCCATACAAAACAGTGTGCTGGAGCTGACAGGGGAGAGATTTGTGTTGTTTATACACAGGTCTCTCCTCCGTCGGAGATACTCGGCAATCACCGGGTGCCGGCGAGAAATCACCGGCTGGGACATGGTGATTGACAGCCGAGGCTGCAAATGGCAGCTTGGCTAGGGCGCGCGTGCGCCCCCTACCCGAAAGTACCCTGTAATATTTCTGCTATAGGGCGATGCGGAAGCGGTTAAAAAAAGCAAAACTTCTATCTCTCTATTAACACTATCTTTAATCCCTATGTTCCTAGCATTAGTAAATTATTATTATTATACAGAATTTATATAGCACCGACAGTTTGCTCAGCACTTTACATTATGGAGTGAGACAGTACAGTAACAATACAGTTCAATACAAGAGGGATTAGAAGGCCCTGCTCCTTGGAGCTTACAATCTAGGAGGGAGGGGATAGTGGTACAAGAGGTAATTAGCTGTGGGGGATGGAGTGGTAGGAGGAGTAGGGAATTCCAGTATTAGCTGGGGTCGGGGTAGGCTTCCCTGAAGAGATGGGTTTTCAGAGTGCACCTAAAAGTGAGCAGAGTAAGCGATAGCCTGATAGCTTTGGGTAGGGAGTTCCAGAGGATTGGTGAAGCCCTTGAGAAATCCTGGAGACGAGCATGGGAGGAGGAGATGAGGGAGCTAGAGAGTAGGAGGTCTTGCGAGGAGCGGAGAGTACGGTTTGGGTGGTATTTAGAGACAAGGTCGGTGATGTAAATGGGGGGCAGTGTTATGAACGGCTTTATACGTCAGTGTTAGTGTTTTGAATTTTATCCGTTGGGCAATTGGAAGCCAGTGGAGGGATTGGCAGAGAGGGGTGGCAGATACAGAGCGGTTAGTAAGGTGAATGAGTCTGGCAGCAGCATTCATGATGGACTGGAGTGGGGATAGCATGCGATGAGGTAGGCCAGTGAGGAGGGAGTTACAGTAGTCAAGGCGTGATATAATAAGGGAGTGAATGAGTTGTTTAGAGGTTTCCAAGGTTAGGAACAGTCATATCTTGGAGATGTTGCGGAGGTGAAGTCTACATGAGTTTGCCAGTGATTGGACCTGGGGCTGAAAGGACAGATGGGAGTCCAGGATTACACCTAGTACCCTGGCGTGAGGGGTGGGACTGTTGATAGTGTTGTTGACCTTGATGGAGAAGTCAGGGGAGGGGGCACGGGCTGGGGGGAATACTAGAAGCTCAGTTTTGGAAAGGTTGAGTTTGAGGAAGTGGAGTGACATCCAGTCCGATATGTCACTTAGTAGGCTGGTGATGCGATTGGAGACTGAGGGGGTGAGGTGAGGGGTAGAGAGATATATTTGTGTGTCGTCAGCATAGAGATGGTAGTTGAAGCCGTGGGAATTTATCAGTTGGCCAAGGGAGGAGGTGTAGATGGAGAAGAGAAGGGGTCAGAGGACAGAGCCTTGAGGGACCCCGACAGAGAGAGGGAATGAAGGGGAGGTGGCAGCGTTATAGGTAACACTGAAGGAGCGCTGCGATAGATAAGAGGAGAACCAGGAGAGAGCGGAGTCTCTGAGGCCAAGAAAGTGTAGTTTTTTGAGGAAGAGGGGCTGGTCAACCATGTCAAAAGCCGCAAAGAAGTCAAGTAGTAGGAGTATAGTATAGTGGTCATTGGTTTTGGCAGTTAGTAGGTCATTGGTGAGTTTGAGTAGGCAGTTTCGGTGGAGTGTAGGGGGCGGAAGCCTGACTGTAAAGGGTTGAGAAGGTTGTTGTCGGTGAGATGGGAGCTCAGGCGATTGTAGACTAAGCGTTCTAGGAGTTTAGAGGTAAAGGGCAGTAGGGAGATGGGTCTTAGGTTGTTCAGGTTGGTGGGGTCCAGGGAGGGTGTCAGGAATGGACTGGCCAGCAATAGTGGGACTCGCCTGCCTTATGAGCTGCAGTACCAGGGCTGGCCAGCGGGTGCTCCCAGCAATCAGAGACTCAACCTTGCAGCCAGTCAAACACTGGAACTAATTATACTGGTGTATTTAAGGGACATTCAGACCTGCAGACTCTGCCTTGGTGTTGTGTTTCTCCTGGGCCCTGTTCCCTGTTCCTGTTCCTGTCTGATTCTCTGCTGACCCTGCTCTGATCCCTGGCTTGTCTGACCATTCTCCTGCTCCTGATCCCTGGCTTGTCTGACCATTCTCCTCTGCCTGACCCTCTGTACCACGCTGCCCGCTACCTGCTGAACCTGGCTTGTGACCCTGACCATTCTCGCTTGCTCCCCCTGTACCTACCTGCCCGATTGATATTGACCCGGCCTGCCTGACGACGCTTGCATTGTATGTACTGTTATCTGTGGGTGGTTGGTTTGGTTTGTTTGCACTGTGTTATGTTTTAGTATTGCACTGCGTTTATGTTTGTATTGTTAGTGTTAATAAATTACATTGTTTTATAACATATCTGAAGTCTTCGTTTCCCTGCGTCAGTCACACACCTCTGGTCATACCCGGGAGCCCTGACATTACACCAAGGCCAATCCTGACCAGAAGTGGCTGCACAGGGAAGCCATCTTGGTTTGTTGATGGGAAGGATGGATCTGGATGAGGTTGCGTATTTATATCTGCTAGTGTTTGATGACAGGGAGTATGCTTATCAAACTCTGAAGGAGTATACCCGGGATGAACTGCAAAAATGTATACGGCTCGCTCATGTTCTAGTAGATCAGGGCACAGAATTCTCTGAGGTGCAGCCATTGATTCAGGTTTGTGCTGAGTTGGTTTCATCTGGTACCCCTGAATGCAGGGATGAATTTTTGCCACCATTTAGTGCAGACCAGGTAGAGTCCCTGGTATGGTTATTAGAGGATGATGTGGGTTACTTTCTGGAGCGTTCTTCCACATGTTCACCACAGGTACTAAGAGATTGTATAAAACGCAGTGCAGTCTTTGGTCAGACAGGCTTTGTGTAAGCTCAGCTTTGTTCAACCCATACTGCAGACATGGACAGACTTGTTGCACCGAGCCTCAGTCAGCTTACAAAGACCCAGTCCTGCTTCTAATCTATTTCCTCAAAGCTCTACTCCTGTATTCCCAACAGCTCCTCCAGTTACAGCCCAGTATACTTGGCTATCTACCGCATGTCAGTACCCTGTTCCCACTCGCTGCACCTATCCTGCCTTTAACCCTGTAAAAAAGCCCTCTGTAGCAACTGCTCCCTCCTCTGTCCCATCCTCCAGCTCTTCTCTGTCTCCAGCTGCTCCATTCGTTTGCAGACCTGCGTTTACTTGCAGTGCTCCAGTAGTTAAAACCAGAAAAAAGCGAAAATTCTTTCCAACCAATACCATCCTGCCAGTATCCAAACCGGTGAACCTGCCTTCCGTGGTTCAGCCTGAAGCCTCTACTCAGCCTGAAGCCTCTACTCAGCCTGAAGCCTCTACTCAGCCTGATGCCTCTACTCACTGAGCCTGATGCCTCTACTCAGCCTGATGCCTTTACTCAGCCGGATGCCTGCATTCAGCCTGATGCCTCTACCCAGCATGATGAACTGATCCAGCCTGACGATCCTATTAGGCCTGGTGACCCGATGCCCGCTGTCGAGCCAGACAATCCGGTACCTGATGACCCGGTTCCCCGCTGCCATGCCAGTTGACTCAGAGGCCGCTGTCGTGCCTGGTGACTCGGTGCCCACTGCCTTGCCAGATGACGCGGTGCCCGCTGGCGAGCTAAATGATCTGATGCCTGGTGACCCAGTGCCCGCTGTCATACCTGGTGACCCGATGCCCGCTGTCGAGCCAGACGATCCAATGCCTGGTGACCCGGTGCCCACTGCCTTGCCAGATGACGCGGTGCCCGCTGGCAAGCCAAATGACCTGATGCCTGGTGACCCAGTGCCCGCTGTCATACCTGGTGACCCGATGCCCGCTGTCGAGCCAGACAATCCGGTACCTGATGACCCGGTGCCCGCTGTCGTGCCAATTGAGTCAGAGTCCACTGTCATGCCTGGTGATTCGGTGCCCGCAGTCTTGCCAGACGACTCGGTGCCCGCAGTCTTGCCAGACGACTCGGTGCCCGCAGTCTTGCCAGACGACTCGGTGCCCGCTGTTCCGCCAGTTGACTCGATGCCCGCAGTCTTGCCAGACGACTCGGTACCCGCAGTCTTGCCAGACGACTCGGTGCTCGCAGTCTTGCCAGACGACTCGGTGCCCGCTGTTCCGCCAGTTGACTCGATGCCCGCTGTTCCGCCAGACGACTCGGTGCCCGCAGTCTTGCCAGACGACTCGGTGCCCGCAGTCTTGCCAGACGACTCGGTGCCCGCAGTCTTGCCAGAGACGACTCGATGCCCGCTGTTCCGCCAGACGACTCGGTGCCCGCAGTCTTGCCAGACGACTCGGTGCCCGCAGTCTTGCCAGACGACTCGAAGCCCGCTGTTCCGCCAGTTGACTCGATGCCCGCTGTTCCGCCAGTTGACTCGGTGCCCGCAGTCTTCGCCCGACGACTCGACGACTCGATGCCCGCTGTCCGCCAGACGACTCGGTGCCCGCAGTCTTGCCAGACGACTCGGTGCCCGCAGTCTTGCCAGACGACTCGATGCCCCGCCAGTTGACCGATGTTCCGCGCCAGACGACTCGGTGCCCGCAGTCTTGCCAGACGACTCGGTGCCCGCAGTCTTGCCAGACGACTCGGTGCCCGCAGTCTGCCCGCTGTCTTGCCGCCAGACTGACTCGGTGCCCGCAGTCTTGCTTGCCAGTTTGACTCGGTGCCCGCTGTGTCCGCCCAGACGACTCGATGCCCGCTGTTCCGCCAGTCTTCGGTGCCCGCAGTCTTGCCAGACGACTCGGTGTTCCGCCCGCAGTCTTGCCAGTTGACTCGGTGCCCGCAGTCTTGCCAGACTCGGTGACTCCGGTGACTCGGTGCCCGCTGTTCCGCCAGTTGACTCGATGCCCGCAGCTGCCGCCAGCACTCTTGCCTGTCTTGCCAGACGACTCGGTGCCCGCAGTCTTGCCAGACGACTCGGTGCCCGCAGTCTTGCCAGACGACTCGGTGCCCGCTGTCTTGCCAGACGACTCGTGCCCGCAGTCTTGCCAGACGACTCGGTGCCCGCAGTCTTGCCAGACGACTCGAAGCCCGCTGTTCCGCCAGTTGGCTCGGTGCCCGCAGTCTTGCCAGTTGACTCGGTGCCCGCAGTCTTGCCAGTTGACTCGGTGCCCGCAGTCTTGCCAGTTGACTCGGAGCCCACTGTCGTGCCTGGTGACTCGGTGCCCGCCGCCGCCAGTTCGCTTGGGGGCCCGATGCCTGTCGCCCGCCCGCCGGGGGGCCCGATGCCTGTCGCCCCCGCCTGGGGATGCCTGTCGCCCCCCGCCTGGGGGCCCGATGCCTGTCGCCCCTCCTGGGGGCCCGGTGCCCGCCGCTCCCGCTTGGGGGCCCGATGCCTGTCGCCCCTCCTGAAGGCCCGGCGCCCGCCGCTCCGCTTGGGGGGCCTGATGCCTGTCGCCCCGCCTGGGGGCCCGATGCCTGTCGCCCCTCCTGGGGGCCCGGTGCCCGCTGCTCCGCTTGGGGGCCCGATGCCTGTCGCCCCGCCGGGGGGCCCGGTGCCCGTCGCCCCGCCTGGGGGGGGCCCGGTGCCTGCTGCTCCGCCTGGGGGCCCCGGTGCCTGCTGCTCCGCCCGGGGGCCCGGTGCCTGCTGCTCCCCCGCCCGGTGGCCCGCTGCCTGCTGCTTTGCCTGGTAATCCAATGTGCCTCTGCCCGGAGTCCAGCCCGATGTGCCTCTGCCCGGAGTCCAGCCCGATGTGCCTCTGCCCGGAGTCCAGCCCGATGTGCCTCTGCCCGGAGTCCAGCCCGATGTGCCTCTGCCCGGAGTCCAGCCCGATGTGCCTCTGCCCGGAGTCCAGCCCGATGTGCCTCTGCCCGGTGTGCCGCTGCCCGGAGTGCCTCTGCCCGGAGTCCAGCCCGATGTGCCTCTGCCCGGAGTCCAGCCCGATGTGCCTCTGCCCGGAGTCCAGCCCGATGTGGCTCTGCCCGGAGTCCAGCCCGATGTGCCTCTGCCCGGAGTCCTGCCCGATGTGCCTCTGCCCGGTGTGCCGCTGCCCGGAGTCCTGCCCGGTGCCAGTCTTTGATATCCCGCCAGTTACCAGACCCGGGCGGTGGAACATTTTGCCCAGCTAGGACTGTTTGGAGCGTCCTGAGGCCGCTCCTTGAGGGGGGGGGTACTGTCAGGAATGGACTGGCCAGCAATAGTGGGACTCGCCTGCCTTATGAGCTGCAGTACCAGGGCTGGCCAGCGGGTGCTCCCAGCAATCAGAGACTCAACCTTGCAGCCAGTCAAACACCTGGAACTAATTATACTGGTGTATTTAAGGGACATTCAGACCTGCAGACTCTGCCTTGGTGTTGTGTTTTCCTGGGCCCTGTTCCCTGTTCCTGTTCCTGTCTGATTCTCTGCTGACCCTGCTCTGATCCCTGGCTTGTCTGACCATTCTCCTGCTCCTGATCCCTGGCTTGTCTGACCATTCTCCTCTGCCTGACCCTCTGTACCACGCTGCCCGCTACCTGCTGAACCTGGCTTGTGACCCTGACCATTCTCCGCTTGCTCCCCCTGTACCTACCTGCCCGATTGATATTGACCCGGCCTGCCTGACGACGCTTGCATTGTATGTACTGTTATCTGTGGGTGGTTGGTTTGGTTTGTTTGCACTGTGTTATGTTTTAGTATTGCACTGCATTTATGTTTGTATTGTTAGTGTTAATAAATTACATTGTTTATAAACATATCTGAAGTCTGCGTTTCCCTGCGTCAGTCACACACCTCTGGTCATACCCGGGAGCCCTGACAGAGGGTTTCTTAAGTATGGAAGTGATGTGCACGTGCTTTGCAGGGGAGGGGAAGGTACCGGTGGAGAGGGAAAGACTGAAGATGTGAGTGGATATATAGATAGGAAAGTACTGTATATTATATTTACTTGTTTTAAACTTTTTTTTTACATTTCTTCAGTTACGTCTTAAGCACACCCTCCTACCTGCATGTCTGAGCTAAGGGCAGGTGGATGCCAAGCAGTAAATGCTACATGAATCATCTGCCCTCAAGATGGCCATGGACAGAAATACTAGGGGGTGTTTTCCAAGGTGATTTCTCAACAAAAAAAGCTTGGAGACATGGATGGATGGGTGAGTTTCCTTTGAATATTAAAAATGAATTTAACTACTTCCTGTCCAGACACTTTTACCCCCTTCCTGTCCAGGGCAATTTTCAGCTTTCAGCGCTATCACACTTTGAATGACAATTGCGCAGTCATGCAACACTGTACCCATATGAATTTTTTACCATTTTTTTTAGACAAATAAAGCTTTTTTTTGGTGGTATTTATTCACCGCTGGGATTTTTATTTTTTTGCTATGTAAATGAAAAATCTTGGCCACAATTTATTCCGTTATCTTTATATTAAAAAAAATAAATAAGCCAAATTAGTTTATAACTAAAAATTATAATTTTTAAACGTTTTTTTACATTTTTATTTTATTTCTTTATATTATTATTTGTTTTTTTTTACATACTGTCACCCTTGCAGTACAGTGTGGCTGTAAAAGGATGTAAAAGCAATAATTTCTCTTTCTCTCTGTCTGCATTCTTGCAGCCATTGAGAACTACTGAGTGAGCTGTGATTGGTCACAGCTTGTCACATGGTACAAGGCTGTTGTGAATAGCTTTGTACCATGTGACCTCTGTGATCATTCACAGATTTCACACGTAGTAAGCAATGATGTCACAAGTGGTGACATCTTGCTTACTACTGTGCATGTGATTACTGATTGGCCAATCAGTGATCACATGATCGGGACCTCGTACAGAGGTCCCGTCCGACGATCGGAGGACACAGCGGTCACCGGATCGCGGTGCTGCGCGCTCCCAGGGAGCGCGCACAAGCAGGGTGCGGGGAGGCCGTTTATAAATGGTCACCCGACCCTGCAGTGCCACAGTCCAGCCATTTATATACAATGCCCAGATAGGAGGTGGTTAATAGCTTTTTTAAGTTGTGGTGCTCAGATGCAGTGTAGATCTGCTTTAAGGTGTTCATGTTATACAATTTATATAACATAACAATACATATGTAGCACTACCCCCTTAGGAGTCTCTGATTTTTGGGTCCCCTGAGTCCTGCACAGCCAGGCAACATACATTTTCTTCAGACCCTGCACACTGGAGACAGTAAACAGTCCTTGAGCTTTTTTTTTTTTTATTAGGGTATTGCACTTGGATGGGGTTGAAGGGTTTATGGGATTCTTGCATTCTCTGTCTGCCGCGGATGTCAGTCGCTGGGTCACAGCCCGTCCTTACCAGCTATGTCCCAGCGATTAGTGGCAATCACTGACAGAGAGCAGGGCTGCAGTAGCTGTGCTTTCTGTCAGTTCCCTGACAGCTCCTGACACGCTGCTTGGGACAGAAGAGTTTATCTGTCCCAATCAGCAGTGTTCCCTGCAGTACACACCCCCGCCCCCTAGTAAAACACTCCCCTCACACAGTTAACCCTTTCACTGAATAATAAAGTTAACCTCTTCCTCCCCAGTGCCATTAGTACAGTGTCAGTGTTTTTTTTTGCACTGATCACTGTATTGGTGTCACTGGGGATGTCAGTGACCCCAAGTCAGTTCCCCCCCAGTGTCAGAATGTCCGCCGCAGTCCCGCCATAAGTCGCTGATCGCCGCCAGAAGTCACTGATCGCCGCCATAAGTCGCTGATCGCCGCCATTATTAGTATAAAAAAAAATTAAAAATCCCAGTATCTTTACCACCATTTGTAAACGCTAATAACTTTCACGTAAACCAATTAATTTACACGTATTGGGTTTTTTTTTTTAGCAAAGACATGTCCCGCAGAATGCATTTTGGCAGAAATTTATGACTAAATTTGATTTAAAAATTTTTTTTTACTGGACATGTTTTATAGCAAAAAGTCCAAAATATTGTTTTTTTTTTCCCTCAAAATTGTCAGCCTTTTTTTTATAGCGCAAAAATAAAAAACCACACAGGCGATCAAATACCACCGAAAGAAAGCTCAATTTGTGGGAAAAAAAAAAGGATTGCATGACCGCGCAATTGTCCATTAAACTAGCGCCGCGCTGTATAGCAAAAAAAAATGGCGTAAATTGCAGTATCTATACCAGTTTGTAGACACTATAAACTTTCACACAAAGCAATCAATATACACTTAATTGGTATTTT